GGGGGTATGGGAATAGTTTTAGCAAAATGAAAGTGGTCCGATCTTAGTACCGGAGTATTGATTAAAAAGAACATCCATTCTTCTAGGCACGTTGAAAGTCTACATTCTTTAGCTGGCCCTTTTCTCCTCCACTCTCTTGATTTAGTGTTGTATCTCAGGCGTGGGGTGGGGGTTGGGGGAGGCGGGGGGTAATTACGGCTGTTCTTTTGCCTAACACATCAACTTCCCTCTTTATTGAATTTTGCTCCTTATTTATTTTTTTTTTGTTGAGTGGCTTTATTTAACACCTACCCATATTACTGTCTTTGTTCTTGCTGAGGAGTTTCAGTTGGTAGTTGTGTGTTTGGGACAATAAATTTGAAGTAAATATAACACTTTATGGGGGAGGGAGAGGTTTATCACCCTGAAACCGGTTTTGTAGCGCAGTCCAGGATACGATTTTAAATCGAATAAATTCGTCTCTTCTTTATTTTTTTGCCTAAATTAGCTACTTCGTTTCTTGTTTTTTTTTTTCTTGCAAATTTTGTAGTTGCAGATATGTCTGCATCCTATGCTTTCATCTTGGAATTAAGGTCGTTCATTTGACAGTAAAAGTACTTTTTTGGATTTCGATACTCCCACTGATCAATAAACAAGCCTGTCAGTCTGAAAGTCATGAGATTGATGTGCATCTAGTGATATGGGTGGCCAATCATATTAATTAATTCTGACCCTCAAAAGGGAATGGTTGGGGTACGGATTTTTGTCAGATCGACTCCAAAATTTCTTTGTTTACTTCAGGTGTTTTGTTAACTCTCCTTCTTTGTAACAGACAAGATTGAAGTTCTTAATGTCCTAAGTTCATTTAGCTGTGTTCGTGTGTTTTATGCTTGCTGATATGTCACAGTAACGAGTATGAACATCTACCAATAGATGGACCAAATGCGTTGTGAGAAATAAGCTATAACCAGCCATTTCCTATGTGTGTGTGCTAGTAGTTGAAGATTTGGTACTCTTCAATGTGTTTAAGATCACCGTTTCCTTAAGCTTTCCCAGTCAATTAATTAATTCACTCGTTTAGCTCATTGTCTTCTCTGCATTGTCTGACACCGCGTGTTTGCCGACCATTTCTCGCACTAACTGCAACACGAAATCAATGGGTGCGTAGCGTTTCATTCCTCCCACTGGCTGTCTGGTGTTCCACCTCTCGTCTTTTTGCCAAATGTGTTCAATTCAATTTCACCCCATGATACGATTTCGTTGTTTCTATTTTGTATTTGATGCTCTTAATTTGATTAATTCTATGGTCACCTATAGCGATAGAATGCACGCAACAACCATCATAGACACACAAAAGAAACATTAATAGGAGCGGCGTAAGGTTCTTGAGGATAAGATTCAAGTTTAACTTGGTTGTTTCCTCATTTGCCTCTTTGTATATTTCCCCTAGTGTCATGGCTCTAATATCCTCAAGACTGATTCCTATCTTTTTAAGTGGATTAATGACTTCGTTATTTGACAATTTAATGTAATAGCCGGCTAACCATTTTCTTTCTGCAATGAAGTGTTAGGCTTACTTTTCGACGTCACTGTGTCCATCGGTGAACTGATTCACACTTTACAATTTCTCCAGCAACAGCATCTGACGCTGGATTCTATTGAAGTTGGATTTTCCTCTAACTGTTTTTTGTTGGTAGGCTAATCAATTAAAACACACCATTCTAGTGTTTCCGGCTACCTAATTCTTATGCCCTTTAGCGTTCTCGTTGGGTTTCACCAATTGGCTCCTGTCATCTCTCTGTCTAGACGCAATGTGTTTACTTCTTCCTGCATTGAAGTAAAATAATGCAAATACCCTATCTGACGGGTACACATTTTCTCCAACCATACTTTAACATTTATTTTTAAAGCGTTCGAACTTTAATTGTTATGTGTGTGTGCGTGTGTGCTTTTTTTATAGACTGTGGAGTCCCTACGCAAGAAACCGGGGAAACGTGAAGCCTTCATAGCCGTCGATGACATGAAGACGCTTTCCACGTCCGAGATCGGAGCACCAGAAGGTAGCCGGAAGCGCACAGCGTGGGCCAGTGAGGCGAGTGAAGAGAAGAAAGCGCAAATCTCCGAGGTTTTGTCTGCCGTCTCCTTTTCTGAAGTCCCTGAACCCTCAGTCACCTCCTATGGGCCTACCAAGTCCTTGAAGTATAAGAAGAGGGAGAGAAAGGGCAAGAAAGTTGGCCCACCTAGAGACGCAACAGCGATGAAGCGGAATGTTCCCATGAAATCGAAGAATAAAGCAGTGAAGCGCCTGTTTAAGCGTTAAGGTCACCCACACAGAAATATCTAACCCCCCTTCAGATTCTGTATAAATTACTTTTCGCAAGTTAAAATACTATATTTATTATTCTTGGCTTGCCTTTAAGCTCTTCATTTTACCTGGAAAATGGGGTTATTTGTAGTTTTTACGCTATAGAGTCCTTTAGAAGGGACTTGGTTAGCGTAAATTTGGGAGCAAGTACCTGTCGAAATCGTATTGTCTGATAAAGGTACTTAGAAGCACATTGTCGATGAGTAAGGAGCACGTTATGAGGTTTTCTTAAACTTAAAATATGTACCTTTGTTTCAGAGTAATACCTGGGGTGACCCGTTTTTGTTGATTGGTTACTAAGCTGCCAAATCAAGGGGGATATTGGAGCCTGGCAATAGGCATAACTCAGTTGGGTCGGAGATTGTTGGCACTGATCTCAGAGGTAGGTGGAGTCGAAGGGCATGTATCCCTGAAGGAATGATAGTGCGAGGCTAAATAGGCTTAAGAGCAGTAATCTCTGCATAAAAGTAGAGTAAACTAGTTAAGAGTGCTGGGCAGAGATAGTTTGAAAGATACGTCAGTATGGGCTGTGTAACCTTTTAATAAGAAGATTTATATCAAATGGCAGACTTCATGATAGTTACCCTCTAAGCCCTCTAGTTGACTTTGGGCTTCACGAATACCAGGGGCATCAAAGCCACGAAAAGTCGAGGAGGAGGGTGGGAGGGGGCAGAAGAGTGTTTCAAAGACGAAGGTAGAAATGGTAGTAAAAAGGTGAGGTGAATACTGTTGAAGTGGTGGAATATGACATGCAGCCGGGTCATGGTAGTTTGAAGTCAGAAGTCAACTGCCTGCTTATAGAATACGTTACCCAGGTTACTCCACGTGAAGGTAATAAAAATAATAATGAATAAAGATAAGTGAATAGAAAATATCAAGATAATTTGAATGCTTAAATTTTTTTGGAAAAATGTCTAAAAGGACCTAAATCAGCCCTAATTGGCAGCAAATTGCGTTCAACTCCCAACAATAACTACTTTGAAAATAAATTTTTAAATAGCATGCAAAATAAATGTGCTTTGTGTTCCCTCAGAAAAAAAATGTTTCATTTACAGGAGGACACAAATTATTCCTTAATATTATCATTCAACGTGGGTTTATACCCTTTGTCAAAACTAAAAAGCGGATTCGATCTCCAATGGTCATTCCGGCAATTTTAAGTCTCTTAAGCTTTGAGTTAATCTAAATTTGGAAAAATTGTGCTACAGTAGGACTTAGGAGGAGAAACTATTTACCAGCGAATTGTAATATATTGCAATTCCTATAAATTATGATGCGGATAGTGTGTTTTTTTACCATGGTAGTTAAAAAATTGTAGTTAAGGGCCCTCTTTTTCATAAATCAATTTGCACATTCCTTACTTAATGGGAAATACCATGGGATTAGATTAATTGCGTTGAGAAATGGGGATTAACTTCAGGTCTGACCAATCAGAGGTCACCGAAGCTTTTCCACTGATGTGATTGGCCAATCAAACAACAGAGCAATATTTAGGCTCGGTTTCTCACACACGGGACACCAGTATACCTCAATTCTACTCAACATCTTGGTTCATGATGCTTTATTCAATAGTCTTCAAGTGTTAACTCTCAATAGTGTCACCTGATGTGGTATTCAATCGAAAATATGCTTGCAGTGTATAATGTTACCGCATGAAACACTATTTTTGAGCGAATTTGAATTACTTTTCAAATGATATAAAAGAGCAGCATGTTAGATGAATGATTTCTAGGAGCATGGTCAGTCATATGTCTGGACAATCGTGCAATATCTGCCAAAAATGAATAGACTTGGGCCCGGTTTTTAGGTCCTTTTGTTTCACCGACTGTACCGGTTTAACTTTTCAAAACTAGTCTGGAGGTATTATTTTATTTATAATCATTTTAGTCAATTGGTAATATTTTCTTACTTGAAAACATTTTGTCTGATTCATTGCAATTTTAAGATTAGAACCATTTCAACAACCATCATTTGGGAATTTGAAGCGTGCCTGACTTGTTACAAAAATGAAGAGCCGGTTCTACGTTGTAACGAGACAATTGTTGAAAGATACCATAGTCATCCAGTAAATACTAAAATTTTCAAAATTTATTATTTCAATCCATGTTCAATAGACTCAGTGGGTTCCTCATTCTACAGAGAAAACTTGGATTGTTGAAATTTTAGTTATTAGGGTTGCAGCGCGAGTCCCGGAAAACAAGTCGTCGTATGTTAATTGGACAGTCTCATGAAATTCCTCCAACCGGAACCCCAAATTCCCCGACGCATTTAGTCATACTCCCATCTTCGTGAACATGGTGGTACATTTCGGACTCTGAAAATTTGGCCATCCCAGGAGGTTGAAGTAAAATTGGATACGAAATTCATAGGGTTGGAGAGGAAGGCAAACATCAAAATAAAAACCTAAGTTTAATTGAATTAAGTCCACCGACCAACCACCATGAAAGATTCTGCATTCAGATCATTGCCTGAAGACATTTATTAAGTCCTAATTTATGGGTCGCAATAGCTTACAAAATGAAATAAATTGAAGGCAATTGGAAATAAATAATGGAGAAAAAAAATTGTTTATATCGCAATGACATCTTGTAATGCATTATTTTCAAATAAGTGAATTAGAAGCTTTTGTGACGCACCAATGATATATTTGGAATTGGTATATTATTGAAACTACTTAACTGTACATTGAATATACCCTGTTTAATACATTGTGTTTGCATTGGTTAGAATGCGAACGAGGGATTATGATTAAATATGCAAATAGAGCGAATTGATTTAACCCATTTAAAGGAGAATTCATCTAACCAGTGTTAATTATGCGCTCCAGAGCACTAAATGTCAAAATTTTAAGAGAGAAATGAAGTACCTTCATAGATCCATACCGCCTCTCTCTGTGTATAACACGTCCACTCACTCATTCTCCTGTTATGACTTTGTCTAGTCTCTGACAACCAAATCAGGTGACGTCTTCTCTTCTTACCCACTCCATTTTTTTCTCTTCTCTCACCTTCCTCATTGATTTGCCATTCAGAGGTTGCTGTTTTTTCTAACTTCTACTTCCCAAAAAGTTGCCCAACTTTTAGCCTCATGCATGACCTTAAAAATCCTTCAAAAAACAGCCTGACATTGCACTAATACCAGGATTTGGGATTTGATTCTGGTGCGCCGGGGTTCAATCGCAGTTGCTCTTTGCAAAACTTAAAGGATACCGAAAATTCGGAAATGGAAATTGTTTACGGTCTTTGTGCAGTGATCCCTTCGATAATATTTATTAATTTATACCAAATAGCAGGCGTTTTGATAGTTATCATTAGCCCTTTAGTTGACTTCAGGCTTCACAGAGAGGAGTTGGAACATCAAGGTGAAAAAAGTCGATAGTGGGGGGGGGGAGCAGAAGAGTGTTTCAAAGTTGTAAAAGAGACAGACATGAAGGTGGAAAAAAGGTGAGGTGAGTACCATGGAAGTAGTCGAATATGACACAGTGAGGTGAGTACCATGGAAGTAGTCGAATATGACATACAGTGGGTTGATGGTAGTTTGAAGTGAGAGGTTAACTGCCGGTTAATAGACTTTTTGCCGTATGAATATACGTTTCCCCCGAGTGCACCACGTGGAGGTAAATCTATCGCACACCCCCTCTTCAATAATATAATGTGAGCAGTTTGAAGTGGAATTATGACATAAAAGTTGAAAAAAAACAATCTAATTCTTTTTATTAAGAAGCTTTTATGACTAATCTAGTGTTCAGATTATGATTTCGGCACACTAGTAAGCGTATTAAATTAATTTCAAGATCATGAGAATAATTCAAATGCGCTCAATTTTCGAATACTGTAATATAATCAAAAAATAAGACATCGACTTAATAGAAGACTTTTTGTTGCTAACAGCGAATATTAAATGAATCGTAAAAGCGTTGCTAAGGCACAAAGGAAAGCAGTTTACTAATTTGAATGGCTGTCCGTAATTTGGGATGTTTTTTAATTACAGTGAATGTGAATTTCAATTCTATTATTTCAAAGTAATGTTTAAAAAAGAAAAATTAAGCAATAGGAAATTCAATCTGTGTAAAATGATTAACAGAATACGTAAATTTCTTCTTTTTTCATCACAAAAATTGAATAAAGGAACAAAATCTTATTTAAGGAAATTGCAATCTTTCCTGGCTTACAACAATATTTAACAACAAATGCAATAATTTTGAAACAACCAATCAATTACACGAATTCGACATGTTCAATTCTTGGAATGATTTAAAATACCACGTCCAGCGAAAAATGTCGAATGCAACATATATTTATATTTACATAGCAAATACATTTTTATCGAATCAACTGAAGGAATGTTTTAATCGACACTTTGTAAAAGATTTTTCAGAACGCTGTCACATATTTGCAGAGTTGCAAGGTTTTGCGGTCAACAGGTGAAAAGGCGCACTGATTCGATGAATAAGCTCGCCTTAAATGTGTATACACCGCAATATATCTTTTTGCATAGGGAGTTGTGGGAACCAAATGGGTCGAATAATCCACATTCCGCCTTTCCAATCCGAATTCCGCAAATATGATCACTCGTGTTTTCAGTATTTCGTCTCCATCCTTCTTTTACACTGTTAAGGAGATGCTTAAAATAGCTCGCCTGATAGCAATACTTGTATGGATGCCTTACCGATTAGTGCACGATAGACTTACCTCCACGTGGTGGACCCTGGTCAACGTTAACTCATACGGCAAAAAAGGTCTATTAACCGGCAGTTGACTTCCCACTTCAAACTACCATCAACCCACTGTATGTCATATTCGACTACTTCCACAGTACTCATCTCACCTTTTTCTTCCTTTGTGTCTGTCTCTTTTACATCTTTGAAACACTCTTCTGTCCCCCTCCACTCTCGACATTTTGTCACTTTGATGTTCCTCCTCCTCTCTGTGAATCCTAGTGATAACTACCAAATT